AGTCCCCGGCTATTCTTTGGCGTCCGCCCCCCCCCCTAACGCCTAGTCACGCCCCCTCTTTGGTCCGGCCACGCCCCCATGGCCTAGCCACGCCCCGTCCATCCCCAGGGCCACGCCTCCAGAATGCAGCCCAGGCCATCCCAGGCTAGCCCCTCCCGGCCCTGCAGCAGAGACAGAGCTAGTCACGCCCCCTCTTTGGTCCGGCCACGCCCCCATGGCCTAGCCACGCCCCGTCCATCCCCAGGGCCACGCCTCCAGAATGCAGCCCAGGCCATCCCAGGCTAGCCCCTCCCGGCCCTGCAGCAGAGCCAGCGCCCAGGCCAGGTGACATGGCCCTGCAGGGCTGCCCAGGCTCATCGCTGGCCCCGGAGCCTCCTGTCCGGTTACAAGCTGGACACGGGCACAATGTCAGCCCTGAGTCCAGCACGGGAGCAGTGTCAGGCCTGTGTCCCCCAAGGCTCCATGCACTCTGGGGGCCACCTCAGCCTGGGCCAGAGATCCTCTCCCCCCAAGAGCCTCCCCAAAATGCCCTGCACCCCCAGCTCTTCCCACTGCCCCTCCTGAGCACTTCCTGCCTTTCCCCACTTGCCATGTTGCTCCAGTCTCTTTCATTCCAGCCTGCATTGTCCATCCCCGGCCTGCTTCCTCAGCTGGACTCAGGGATCCCAGCTCTGGGCGGGCAGCGGTGTTTAGTGGTTAGAGCAGGGGACTGGGTGCCAGGAGTGCTGGGCTCTATTCTGCAGTCACTGCCTGGCCTGGAGAAGAGCCACTCTGGGATGGGGGGGTTACACACAGGGCTGGATTAAGGGGGGGGGCTTGCCAGGCAGCTGCCCAGGGTGCCAACCTATGGAGGGCACCTGATGGCAGCTGAAGGGGTGCCGTGTGACTGGCCATGCGACGGTTCGTAACCCGGCGTTCCCACCCGGCTGCGCTGGGATGTGAGACTCCCGCTGACTCACCCCCTTGTGTGTTGGCCCAGACACCTCGGCCCAGCCTGAGGCCATAACAAGGCTCTTCCCAGAGGGAGAGACAAGAGAAGAGCCAGGGACGGTCCCCAAGCTGGGAGGCAGGTGAGCCTGCCCTGTTTACACAGAGCCCCCATCATGGGGAGCCCCTCCTCATGGCCCAGGGTATAAAAGGGCCCTGCAGGTTCCTCCTTTTGTCTTCAATCCAGCTCCCCCTCAGAGGCTCTG